CCCCCCTTTTTTTTTTTAAATCCACTGAAGTGCACACCCTTTCAATTCACAGTCATCCCTGGAATTGCACCAAATCTCCAGACATCTATTCTGATAGTACTAGATTTTTCCCCCGTGACGTAAATGAGTGCACTTGATGCATAATTTGCGACAGGTGCAAATGTCAATCGCCACATCGGGATTCATTATGTATTCGCTGACTAATATTTGTACAGGCCTATACTTTGAGTATGTGTGTTCGTAATGCGCGTTGAGTGTGGATATCAAAATGCTCTCTGTGAGTGTGTGTGTGTGTGTGTGTTTGTGTGTTGTGTGTGTGCTTGTGTGTCAGTGCGCGTCTGTTTGTTTGCTTGAGTAGTTGTTTTACGTCACATTCGACTCAGTTTTGGTTATTGTGCGTGTCTGTGTGAGACAGTGAGTGGTGGAGAGCGAAAGCCAACACACAGGTGTGTAAATGGACGTGATCAAGGTCTCTGTAAGCACAGGTGTTTGTGTGTGTACATGTATTTTGTATATGTGAGTGCGTGTGTGTACGTGAGTGAGCATTGCGTGCCTGTGTTTGTATGTGAGTGAGGGTAAGAGAGCGTATACGCGAGTGTGTTTGTGTGTGAGTGAGCATATTATGTGTGCGTATGTTTGTGTTTGAGTGAGCGTACGCGTGTGCGTGCGGGTTTGTTTGTGAGTGAGCACATGTGCGCATGCACGTGCTCGTGTGCGGAAGTAAATACATAACTCGCTGAGAGACGTGAAAGCACACCCAAGGTGTTTATTTGACCGAGCAACACGACACGGTATGTCTGACAGTAGTGAGCAATAAGTCCATCAGTGTCTCTTCGACTGCATCACAGTTTGTCGCAAAACTCACTAGAAACGCAGCATAGTCGACCCTGTGGTTGGATGGTGCTCTGGTGTGGTTTGCTTCTTCTTTCCTATCAAACATATATTCGTCCTTATCTCCCCTTCTTCATTTTTATGCTTGTTACTCTCTTGTAACAACTCTAATCTTGTGGCGTTCAAATGACCTAATTAATGCAGTTGCGAGCGGCGTAAAATTTCTACTAAAACAAAAACAGAACCTGCTCTGGCGGCCACCTGTATAAGACAATCATCAGTACAAATGGCCAC